GAATTTCTGGTACAGAAAGAGCTCCACTTTTCCAAGTGGTGGCTGTCTGTCTCCCAGATGGAGAGTACAGAATAACAGCAGTCATGTCCAGAAAGGGTGGAGAGGCCTCAAAACAAGAGTTCCCTGTGCACATCCAGAAGCAAAGTTCAAAAGCAGTGCTGTCCAAGGTATGGCCCGTAAACCATTCATCACCAGTCCATCACAACAAACTTACAGCAACATGAAGCCACCACGATATCCAAGAGCATGAGTACTGAACCTGCCCTACTGAATGGCTCATAGGCCAGTCTGAATGATACTGAACTCCTGAGGTGAGCCACAAATGCTGCAAGCTGTGAGTTAGCTTTACAAAGTAGGACCATGTTTGGTTTTGAAATTAAAAGCAAGAAAAAAAAACTGGTCCTTTCTCAGATTTAGTTTGAGAAAAGCTAACTTTGGAAGACAATCCCCCTTTACTTCACAGAAGAGACAATGTCCATGGACATTAAATGACTTCCCCATGACTAACAGCAGAACCCAAGAGTAGGAGTAGAGTAGAAAACAGAGAGAGAGAGAGAGAGAGAGAGAGAAGAGAGAGAGAGAGAAGAGAGAGAGAGAGAGAAGAGAGAGAAGAGAGAGAGAGAGAGAGAGAGAGAGAGAGAACGAGAACGGGACAAGTGCACTTCTTATCCCTTTCCTCTCAGCCAGTAGGTCTTGCTGAAGCCCCTTGAAGCAATAAGGGCTACAGGATTCACACTTTTAATGAGCTGAAGGCAAGTTCAGATTCAGGTAAATAGCCCAAGCACAGTTATTTCCATACAGCTTTCTCTGGATTTCAAACTCAACACAGATAAAGTGAATGCTCTCCTTTAAAAACTAAGCTCACTTCCCAGCTAGACCATTTCTGAAGCACTACCCTAACCTGTTATCACCAGATCCCGGAAACACTAACATTCTGAAAACAAGGTCAACATGTTGATTTGTCCTTCAAAGTCCCTTGAGGTTCACTGAGCCAAAGAGGAACAAAGGTAAAAAGCTGGGTGTACACAGGATGAGTGGTTGTGTCTGCAATGTGCAAGTTCACAGCCCCAAACACACAGTTAAGATCAAAGCCATTCACTGTATGAAAACAAAAACTGGCAATGCTCGTTTTCCCACTTAAGACTTATGATTTTAGGGAAGTATCAAATGATTTTATGAGGTTGTAATGATAATGGTTTCTCCCACTTTTACTGTCCTCTGAACATGGTAAATATTCAGCAAATGCTGAAAGTCAAAAGGGACAAAGAAAGGGAGATAAAGTGGATGGAGACAGGGTCACAGTCCTTATTAGTGTAATAATCTATACATTTTAATCATCTAAACTATCCCAGTCCTCTGTTTGCCAAAGGATTCCTAAACTAATTCACAAGAAAGCCACCTCCTTCTCAGAAGCTGCAGAGATGCTGGGAATGAGAGGGAGTCCTCAGCTGACTGCCAGATGTCTGGGTGTGAGAGGAAATGAGGCCAAAAGCCTAAGAGGTCAGGAGCGGGAAAGAGAGGACTTAAGAGGATTGGAAGACCCAAAAGCTGAGCCAAACCAAAGCCTCTCCCTATACTCCCTGCCTGCCCCCCCAGCCAGCCAAACCATTTGCTACAGCCCCTAGGGTATGGGAGGGGACTTGGCAAGACCACAAAGCCCATTTCTAGCAGAAATGTCCATCTGTAGCTGGAGGAAGCCCAGCACTCATGCCCCTCCTCATCAGGTCCAGCAAAAGAGCTGCAAAGCCATCATGGTGGATCCCTGAATGCAGCCCCTGGGCCCCTATACCATCATGGACAGGAAAGCTCTTCCTTCAGTTCAACTCTATCTTGCCAAGCTCTTTTCCTCCCCCTGACATTCAAAAAGGGTCGGTGTCACCAAGGAAATAGAGCTAAACTCTAAGATTTAACTCTAGTTTTTATCATGCCCTCTCTTTCCATTCTCAAACTCAACTCTGAAATCTTCTTAGTTGGTTCCTTTCGCGCTCTATAGCCTGACAGGGTCACCTGCTTCTGTATCTCCAAGTTCACTGCTGCTTATCAATGTACCTTATAGAAAAGGGGGATCCTTCTGAACCCTCATAAAGGGCTGGAAGATCAGGCAAGAAAGAGCTAGTAGGAGCGACATACAGTGGTTGGAAAATTAAGAACCACAAATTCTTGACAACAGGGCATTTCTGCAGTGGTCAAAAGGAAAGACAGAAGGCAGAGATCCTGGGCACAGTCCCAAAATAGTTTCCAGACATCCTCAGCCAGTGCAGTGGAGTGTTCCCATGGGGCAGAGCGTGGGAGCTGTGTGGGAACCCAAAAGCAGGGTGGCCTGGTGCTCTCAGCACTGGGCATTCACTCCTATCCAGACTGCCAAGAGAGGGGGGGGGAGGTGGTAACTGTGTGTGCCATAGCATATTCCTTGGGATATCATGGAGCATACTAGACAATAAAATTTGCATTCATCAAACTCAGCTCTGTGCCTGCACCAGGCACTGTGTACACCCACATATCAGGATAGTGCTAAATCCCTGGCAGCATTCGGCACATAGGAGTATTGCATATTCCTTCTGGCTACTGGACACCGCTTACTCTTGTACCTATCCTGTGGGGACCACAGACTGTCTGCGCGCATGCACGTTCGCGCTCTCTGTCACACACACACTTGTTCTGACCTCAGAACAAGCTCATACATCATACACTTATCATACACCATACCATGACTTGATGACAGAAGAAAATCGGGCAAAACTGTCTCATCCGGGGTTTGTGGAACACTATCCCCAACTAGCTACCCAAGAAAACCAAGGTAGGGAGAAGGCGGCAGAACCAGGAACGATGGGGCACAGACCTGAGGGCTGGCAGTACCCAGGCTGACAGGAAGCTACGGTTCTCAGATAAGCAACTGGACAATAAAAACAAGCACAGACACAACCTCAGAGCGTTAAGAACACAGCCACCTTAGGCCCTCACCGAGAAGGGGAAAGGGGCAGACTCTTTGGGTTCTCAGGTAGCCCCTGCCACATGCTCATACTCCCAAGGGTGTGGGTACTGGGCTCAGAGTCTCCAGCAGATCTGCAGAACTGACCTCACTCTACACCAGGAGAATGCTAGCGGGACAACTGGAGGGCACACTGGCAAAGAGTGGAAGGAAAGCAGGTCTGCCAGGGAAAGTCATCACCACAGCAGGCAGGCAGGAGGGAGGGGTGCTCTGGGGAGTAAACAGACCAGCCAACAGTTCCTTCTCCCAGCAAAGGGAAGCTTAGGCTGACAAGGCTGGAAATACAGAAGGAAGAGGAGGGAGCTGCCCACTCCCTGAGTCCATCTGTCTCCATCCCCTTGTTCTGTTTTCCCTAGTCTGGGGCAGAACAGGTCCACTCCAGGATCTCCACATCTCTAGTGCATACAGCCCTGAAATAGTACACGTGGTGACTATTACCTCACCTTAGTCAGCAGTGGGCAGCCAGGGGAGGAAGCAGAGATGGAACCTAGGGATTCTGCTCAGGAGCAGAGGTGGAATGAGAGCCAGCATGAACAGAGGTGAGCTCACAGCTCTTTCCTGCGTACCCTCTTCCCCACCCGCCCCCCCAAAAAAGCATCACCAGTACACGCCATCCTGTGCTTGCCTCAGTGCCTCTGACAGTGTCATCCCAGGTGATCGCCCACTACTCCCAACGTCACCAAGACATATGAGCTTCCTGGGGGAGCCAATGCCACTTTGGCTCTTCTCCATCCTACAGAAGCTTTTTCAAAAGCAAAAATCCATGTACTCCCCCAAGCACATTCCTTGCCTCAAGTTCCAGGGTGGTTCCCTGGCTTCCAGATTTATCCTGAAGCCTCAATAAGGAGCCCCCCTTCCCAGATGGGTAAACAGAGCCTCTCCTTACCAATGTCCCCACTCAACCAGTGAAGTGACAGGGTGCCAATTCTAGCACCTCCATGGAGCTTCCCACAGCTTTCCCAGGAAGTGGGAGGAGGATTTTCAAGGAGGAGAGATTAAGAGCATTCAGGGTCACCAACAGCTCACCCACCTGCTACTGGAGTAGCCAGGCTCCCCCAGCTTCCTCTCCTCTAAGAGGAGTCCCACTAGACTTGCCCCTGCCCACCTGTCCTCACACTCCCAATCTCTCTGCTGCTGAGAGCTGCCTCCTACTGTTTCCTTCACCCTGGGCCAACAAAGATAGTGCTGAGTAATCCCAAACTCACAAGTAGTCCCCAATCCAGAATACAGGGGCAAAGCCCAAGGAAATCTACTGATCTGGCCCTTGCGAGCCTAGGAAGAAGATTATCCGTAGTTTCCCAGTAATGATCAATATCCCACCAGACTCTACATTCCCCTGCCCCAAATACCTCAACCTCCACTCTCAGACAACCATCTGGAGGAGCTCAGTTACCCCTTCTCTGCTTCCCATGCACCTGGAAACACTCCCTTCCAGTCTCCCAGACACCAAACTGCACAGGGTAACAGCAGACACCCTCTGGCTTTCCAGCCATGATGTTGCATCAGCCCCCACCTACCCAAAATATCCTCACCCCCACCACCTCCTTTCCTCTCCAGCCATCTCCATGGTGACAGCAGTATGACTAATGACACCCTATCAGCTTCAGACTCAGGAGCACACCTCCCCTCCCCATTATCATCACTCTCCCCTCACCCCCCCACCCCCGGGATTTCTGCAGATTGGATGCAAACCAACAGTACCAGGGACATTCTCCAGAGATTTCCAGAGGCAGGAGTGAGAAGTGGGTTGCATGTCTTTAAAAAAGAAAAATAGTTCAACAAACCAAGCCCCAACTGCACCCAAACCATCCAGCTGAGAAAGCAAAAAGAATCCAAACAAAACCCACACAGGCCTGAGAATTCATTGGCCGCCCACACTCACACCGCCCCTCCCCCTCAGCTGCTGCTACACACACAGTGGGAGATTAAGGAATCACCAGAGGAGACCCTTTATTTTTATCCAATCCAGTCCAACACTTCACCCCCCCCCACACACACACACACGAGGTACCTTGACAGCCGCCCCTTGTGCCCACGGCCCCGTTCCGTCACCAGCCTTTATTTCCACCTGCAAAAGAAGCCAGAGAGACTGATAAGCAAGGCTGGTACCAGGAAAGCAGCAAAGTCCTTGTGCAGCACTCCCTAGCACACTGAAGGGGAAGGAGTCAAGGTAGGGGACGGGGCCTAGGGAAGAAAAGCTAGCAGGGACCATCTTCCTGCCCCCAGCTGCCTCCCAGACCCGCAATGATGGTCCCATTCGCCTTCTACTGTTTTTGTTTTCATTATTCCTTTTTGAATCCTCCCCAAATCCTAGAAAACACTGCCCTCTTCTCCCCCGAACCCGTGTTGGTCTGCCAGTCCCTCCAGGCCCTCCGTGCTATACCTCGGCCGGCCTCCTCCGGTGCATCGGCCGCCGCCGGGCCTCCCATTATCCCCGCCGGAGGGAGCGCACGCAGGGAGGCACTGCAGAGGAGGCGGCGGCCAGCTGCCGGCTGCGCTCCCCTCCCTGCCGCGAGGCTGGTGTGCGAGGGGGCGGTGCGCACGTCAGCCAATCCCGCAGTCGGCCCTGCCCCCGCCAATGGACCTGCCCAGCCTCAAGGTTGGGGCCGCCCCCGAGGGTGCCGCTGAGCCACCAGGGCTGCTTCCCAGGCCCGCCACCAACGCTCCCTTGGCAGTCTGGGGATTCCGGGGCACCTCCTCCTGAGGACACCCCGAAGATACTACGCAGAAGGCATCCACTGCCCCTCCGGGGTCAAAAATGCCAGACTGCGCCTGGGTCTCCCACCCCCGCCACTCTGGCCAGTTTAATCCTGGCAGTAGCTAGGACATAAGAGTATGAGGCACAACAGTCCCTTCAATCCTCGAAGAAAAAAAAAAAAAAAGCCGAGGCAGCAAGAGCCTTTATCCCATTTTGCAGATGAGAAAACAAGGCAAAAAGAGTGAAGTAACTTAACCAAGGTGATACAAATAGAACATACCAGCTAAAATTCCAAGTCAGGGCTGTGAAGCTCTAAAGATCATACTCTTTAACAATTCTGCACTACTCCCTGCCCTTCTGCACACGACTCAGAAAATAAGCTGCTTCCCAGAGCCAGCACTGCCTGTGTCTCAAGCTTTCCCAAGTCAGCTTCTCCACCCCCACCCCAAACACCCACCTCACTCTAGGATCAGTCACACCTGGTGCTGGGACATACCCCACCCAACTTGGCCATGGTTTCTCCTTTCTTGGAGAGGCTGCAGGAGGTGCCCCCCCGACCTCAGTCCTCAGGGCTTCCTATCTCTAAAAGAGGCAGAATAGGGAAGATGGGGGGAAAGAGGGGAGAAATGACCCAAATATTGCATACACATATGAATAAAATAAAAAATAAAATACAATTCTAGCTATGAGAAGAAGGAGGGAAAAAAAAAAAAAAAAGAAGGAAGATGGCCCAGTTCCCAAAAGTTCTGGTCTTTCAGTTCCCAAACTCCGGTCTGCTACAACCAGAAAGACAAAGGGGTTACCAAGGGGAGGGGAGGAAGGGTAACAACAGAGAGAAAAGAGAAAGGGTCCTCCAATCCACTGCTGGATTCAATTTCTGGGTATCCCTGGGTACGTTGTTCTTTATCCCACTTCATGTAGCTGAACACCCCAGAACTTCTACCTCTACACTCTGCCACCCTCAAATTTAGGTTCAGTTTCAGTATTACCCAGCTGGTGGTAACTTACCTCTCTTAGCCTCCTTTTGCTCATCTGTAAAAATGGAACTATCAGCTACTTCACACAGTTGCGAGGACTCCCGTGAAGAAACACAGCACATTGCCTGCCAAGCTGCCAGTGCTGCTCGCTAGTTACCGGCAGCACTCTGCATTTGTGGAGGAGCTCACCGGGTGCTACTTCTCATTCTCACAGATGAATAAGCCGAGGCCAGAGAGATGTGACTCATAGGATGTGTGAGCACTCCTGAGCTGATGATTTGCTCTATTACCCACTCCACCACAGATGCCTAATTGCTCCCCTCCCCAGAGCCCCAGGGGGTACTCAGAACTGGATGAGCTGCCTTAGGAGAAACAGCAAGGCTGGCCTTTGATGAGGAGGCTCCAGGAGGCACCAGGCCCACACCTGCCTCCCCCCTGGGGACAAAGGGCAGTTCCACTGTGCTCCTCCCAGGGCAGGGAAGGGAGCAGGTGATAAGACAGTATAAGGAACAATGTTCTAAGCCATGGCTCTAGGTTAAAAACTTGGCTTTTGGCCCTCTTAACTCACCTTGACTAGGCGAGTCCCTCCTTATATCCTGGTCCTCCAATCCTTGTGCTACCCCACTTCCCTACACACAGAATGCTGTTGGATAAGAGACTAACACTGCTTGAACAGTATCAATACTGTTGCTGCCATGGCTGCCAGAGTTTACCAAGCCCCTGCTACGCACCAGGCTGTGTGCCAAACATGTTGTAAGATCATCTCATTTGCCTTACTCTTCTCTTACAGGGAAACAGACTTAGGGAACATTAAGTTACTTGCCTGTTAACACAGCTGGTGAGTGGCAGCTGGAATTGTAGCTGGAATTCAGACCTAGGCCTTTCTCAATGCAATTCTCTAATGACCTCTGTCAATCCCAGAGAGATGCAAAAAAAAACTGGAGTTACTTGAACCAACCACTTCTCTTTCATGCCTGGGAGTTTTCCTGATGCCGCTCCTTCTGCCTAGATATCCCTCCCCACTCTCCCCCTATTCCCAGCAAGCAAATGTGGTACAAGGCTTAATCCAGTTTCAGTCACCAAGCTTCCCTGAGTGTCACCAGCTCCTCCTGGGTCCTCATGGAACAGCGTACTGCCTCTTCTAGGGCACCAGTCATATCGCAGTGAAGTTATTTATTTACTCCACAGTCTCCACACGTGGGCAGGGCCCTGTCTTTCCCACTTTACTAGGCTCTGCACAGAGCTGGAATGTGCTGAGTTGAGCTTCTACATAAGGACGGTGGAGCAGCAGGGGTGGGTGGGTCCTCAGGTGGGGAGGCCCCTCTCCTCTTCAGCCCTCTCACTGAGGTCCCCAAGGATCCAGGGTAACACCTGCTCTCCTAGGAGCACAGGACCTGCCATGGCTGAAATGCAGCAGAGTCCCAGACTTGTTCAATTAGCACACATCTTCCTCACTAGCTTGCAGGAGTTATGGAGCCAAGTTCTCACCCCAACTCCCTGTCAACCTTATCTCTCCAAGCTAACTCAACCGTACCTCAACTACAAGTCTCCACCCTATCCCTCAAGCAACCCTTGGTACCTCAAAGGAGCTGCAACAGCCAACCTACTCCCATCCTCATCCCACTCTGGTCTCCTTCCTCTTCTGGGGTACCCAGAATGCCAGAGCTGATTCAGGCAAGGCACATGCCAGGCCACCCAATCTCCATCCAGGATATTCCATTCCCCAACTGACCTCCTCCCATATCTATATGCCCCCTTTCTACATTTGGGGCTTCGCAGTGACCAAACCAGAGGATTCCTCCCCCATCTTCCATCCCAACCCTATGGCACTCTGAGCAGGAAGAATGGGGCCAAAGACGTTCCCTCTGGGAGAAGTGAATGCATTCACCCACTTTCAGGACACATACAGAGAAGTTCAAGAATATGGATACCTGTAGGCTGGACACCACACAGATAGACCAGGGAATGATGACACTTCCAGAGGTTTGCAAGAGCAGCAACCAAGCATCAACCCCACGAAGGGCCCAACACCAGGAGGCGTGTCATACAAAATCTTATTTAAACCTCAGAACAAGCTAGTGGCTTGTGCCTATAATCCTAGCTACTTGGGAGAGAATGAAATTGAGAGGATCGTAGTTCTAATACTTCAAGACTCCAACTCCAAAATGGACCAGAGGTGTGGCTCAAGTGATAGAGTGCCTGCTTTGCCAGTGTGAAGCACTGAATTCAAAACTCTAGTTCCCCGCTCCCCCAACAACAAAAACTTAAGCCAATAAAACAGGAATTATTCATGCTCATTTAACAGAGAAACTGGAATGCAGAGAGGCTTAGCACTTTGCCCAAAGTCACACAGCTAGAAAGTGACTAAGCTGACCTCTTGCTATCCCCTCACTTTCAGTCAAGGCCACTATGAGTAGCTCTACAATGTTCAAATCCACTTACCTCTTCTAGAGCTAGCAGGAGATAAAGAAAGGTTTGTCCTCTTCCCTTGCCTTGGCTGTGTCCTGAATGAGGTCACTGCCCACAGGGCTTTCCTTCAAAGCTTATTTGAAGCCTACTTCCTCCAGGAAGCCACATCTAGTTACCCCAGCCCTCCACCAGCCTACATCATTTCTGATATTTCTCACTTGACACTTGAAATTTTTCTGTGTGTATGTGCTGCCGCCCCAACTAGAATGGCTACAGTCATGCCTCTCCAAAGCTTCTGGAGGATTTTGTCAACATTCCACACACTGAAGGCATGGGAAATTGACTATGAGGCAAATCTATGACCTGCTTCCCTCTCCGCTACACAAAGGATTCTGCTAAAGAAACCTAACACCCCCTCCACCTTCGGAGCCTATGTTTGAAGTCCCCGGTGTCCACGCATCAATTTCCACCCAAGTAATTGCAGCCCATCACACACACATCATTCCCTATATTTGAAACTCTTTGCCGTTGTCATGGGAACTGCCTTTGCCTTCATTCACTGATCAGGCCTCACAATTAGCTTTGGCAGCGGAAGTCTGTGTCAACGGCAATCACAGGGAGGAGGAAGCCGAGGAGCAGCAGCAGCAGCAATAGAAGAAAAAAGATGCCCCTTCTTGGAGACGCAGAATAAGACTAAACCAAGGCACTCATCTATGTCCAAATGAAAGGCAGCCAACAAGTCTACTTTCTCACTTCCATGCCAAAAACAGGATGCACACAGAGTCTCTGACAGGTAGCAGTTGACACTATGCTTACCACCACATGCCCTCCTAGATGCTTGTCAGAAAGTCTTCTATGAGCCTCATCAAGGTCTCCTCACCCCAAATTCAACAGCTTTGGACCACAAAATGTTCCAGGACCTAAGCAAATAATGAGGGACCATATGATATTATGCAGAAGGCAAAACAAGAAGGTTGAGTACTT